TACTCGGGAGGCTGAGGCAGAGAATTGCTTGAACCTGGGAGGTAGAGGTTGCAGTGAGCCAAGGTTGTGCCACTGCACTCCAGCCTGGGGGACAGAGCGAGATTCTGTCTCAAAAAAAAAAAAAAAAGAAGGGTGCATAGTAGGTGTATATATTTATGGGGTACATGAGGTGTTTTGATACAGGCATGCAATGTGAAATAAGCACATCATGGAGAATAGATTCGTGGAGAATCCATACCTTCAAACATTAATCCTTTGAGTTACAATCTAATTAAACTTTTAAAGTTATTTAAAAATATACAGTTATTATGGACCTTAGTCACCCTGTTGTGCTATCAAATAGTAGGTCTTATTCATTCTTTCTTCTGGTTTTTTTTGTGCCCATTAACTATCCCCATCCTCCCACTACCCTTCCCTGCTTCTGGTAACCGTGCTTCTACTATGCCCATGAGTCCAATTGTTTTGATTTTTAGATCTCACAAATAAGTGAGAAAATGCGATGTTGGTCTTTCTGTGTCTGGCTTATTTCACTTAACATAATGATTTCCAGTTCCATCCACGTTGCAGATAACTGGATCTCATTCTTTTTTATGGCTGAATAGTACTCCCTTGTGTACATGTACCACATTTTCTTTATCCATTCATCTGCTGATGGACACTTAGGTTGCTTCCAAATCTTAGCATTGTAAACAGTGTTGCAACAAACACAGGCGTGCAGATAGAACCTGGGATCTTTATTCATGTGGCAAAAATTTATGGTGGTGTCTGCTGGGTGTCTGACAGGGGCTGGAGATGAGTAGCTTCCAATTCAGCTCCAGGATCCATTTGTGGAGCAGCTGCTATGGGCTGGGCTGAAATTTGGCATTACATTTACTCCCCTCAAACCCACTTTACAAATGCAGAAACAGACTTAGGTGCAGGTATTATTATAATAAGAAACTTTTCCAAGGGTACCACCCGGTGAGTGCCTGAACTGGTTAATTCTTGTCCCCATTCTCCTGGGAGAGCGCGGAGCTGGTGGGGCTCCCCGCCCCCCGCCTCCCTCCTGAAGCCCTCCTGTTTTCACAGCTACCTTTCATCCCCTTCTCAGGAAAGTCCAGGGTGTTGGACCCCAGGCTGGGGTAGGCAAAGATGAGAAGGGGGGACAGACGCTGGCATGTGGGGTACGGGAGATTCGCGCGGAATAATGGGACGCAGCTGCCAGGGCTGCAGTGGGCGGAGAAGCGTGTCCCCTACTTCGGAGGGGCGCTTGGGGGGCGCTGTGTGGGGACAGGTGCACGGGTGCCATGACGACTGCGCCGCGCGAGCCCCCTCCTTCCCCTGGCCAGGAGGTGCGAAGCGGCGGGCGTCTGAGCCAGGCGGACAGCAGCGCTGTGCGGGAGCCGGTCAGTCCGAGGGGAGGGAAACTGGCCAGGGTCTGGGGCCTGGGAGCGCATACCCCCTGCCGGCTCCCCGCCCGCCTCTTCTCGGACAGACCTGCTGCCCAGAGAGCGCAGAAGCAGGGGCTTGGGCCCTCGCCCACCGGCCCGAAGGGACCCGCTGCCTCCAGCCATCGGAGACCGCTGGAGCCCGCAACAGGGGGCAGCATGGAGGGTGAGTGGTCCCGGGGCTGGGGGCCAGCAGTGGGGCGAGGTACCGACTCTGGGGCATGGGGCCGAGGGAGAGGAGAGGGGCCAGGCAGCTGATCACCCATGTCTGTCCAGAGCCAGACGATGTGACACTCTGTGTGTGACAGAGACAAAGACACTGAGAGAGGGAGAGAGACACCTGAGGTGCCCATGTGTTCATGGATGTGTGTGTGTGTGTGTGTGTGTGTGTGAGAGAGAGAGAGAGAGAGAGAGAGAGAGAGAGACAGACAGACAGAGACAGACAGAGTCAGAGGAATAGAAAAACCTGGGGGTGCTCTGTATTCATGTTGTGCATGTTTGTGTGTGTGTGTGTGTGTGTGTGTGCGCGCGCATGTGACAGAGAGAGACAGAGACATAGAGACAGACACTGAGAGAGAGACAAAGACTTGGGGTGCCTCTGTAATGTTGTGCATGCGTGTGTGTGTGTGAGAGACAGAGAAAATGAGAGATAGACAGAGACAGAGAGAGACCGAGAAAGGCTTGGGGGTGCCTCTGTATTCATGTTGTGCATGTTTGTGCGTGTGTGTGTGTGTGTGTGTGTGAGAGAGAGAGAGAGAGAGACATGGAGAGACAGAGAGACACACAGAAAGACCTGGGGGTGCCTCTGTATTCGTGTTGTACATATGTGTGTGCATGTGTGTATGTACAAGAGATGTACACACACACACACAGAAAGAGAGAGACCTAGAGATGCCTCTATGTCCCTGTTGAGTGTATGCATGCACACAGTCCCTGCTGTCTGAGCAGAGAATCATTTGAGACCAGGTACAGAGGTGAGGACAGCTTGGTTATTAGCTTCAGAGGAATTGTCACCGACTTTGCCTGCTTCAAGGAGTAGAGGTTGTGGGGGAGATGGGATTCTAGAGGTGATACCCTCCATGCAGAGAGAATTTCTCTCCCTAAGCAAAGGAGAGTGAACTATGGACCTCACCTTCAGAATTTTAAGGGATAGTGGCCCCCAAGGCATAAGGCTACCTGCTCCCACCTTACCAGAACCCTCTTTCAGCCGTTGTGGACAAGAGGAACCATGTTTAGGCTGACAGCCTGGAAAACCAAGGGCAGGTCCACTGTCTTGCTGGGTGTCTTTGAGATGGTGCCTGAACCTCTCTGTGCCACTGGTCACCTGTCTGTCAAATGGAGGAACTTAACATTCAACTGGCTTCACGGGGTGCCTGTGAAGTTAAATAAGATGTGTTGTACAACACGCCAGTATGAGATAGCTGCTGCAAGAGGTAATAAACCCCAAAATTCCAACCAGTAATTGCAAACACTGCTGTTAAAAAAGAAAATTGAATTTTATAGAAAATCTTGTGAGGCTGCACTTGTAGTTTTCCAGTGAGCCAGGGTATGAAAAGCACACACACAAAAGAGGCACGAAGGAATCAATAATCCCAGAGGAATCTGGAAGATTGGCAGGATCTGTAAGAATAGCGTTAGCAAAGTGCTGAAGCTCCAGTGAACAGAAGTCAGGGGGAAATTGGCAAAGGCAAGAGCAAAGAGCTTTCAGTGTCTAAGTAAGAATAACAGGAAGGAATCTGCTCTGGCTTGGGCTCGAAGGCAGGCAGACAGAGCAAGACACAGGCTATTTTACTTCAATTTGTGGAATAAAGACATAAGGAGGAAATTGAGACCCAGGATAGTCCAGTGATCGGAAGAAAACATCAAGCTCACTCACTGCACCCCAGACACACGACATCTTAGGGGCCCAGAGGTATTTACAGGTGTAATCATCGCTTTCGAGGAAATTATAGAGAATAAAGGAAGTGCCAGAAAACGGAAGATGGGCGGATGTCCTGATTTTCAAAAAAGGGAGGAAATACAGATTTTTTATTTAATAAACTTCTACACTGCTAAGATTAGTATTGACCTCTATTAAAATTCCAGAAGAAATTACCAAGCACTGTGTACACTTAGGAGATAATAAAGCACTCGCACAGCTCAGAATTTTTCGAAATTCCGAGCTATACACTTGCAAAGATGTTTGCCTGAGCATGTTCATCACAGTGCAGAATTGGAAACCATCTAGATATCCATAAATTAAGTAAATTAAATAAAAAAGGAGACACACTTGCAATGACATACTATGCAGACATTAAAAACTGTACTTAGAATTTTCTTTATTGACATGGAAATCTGTTCACTACCTACTGTGAGTAATTTAAAAAAATAGTTTTTGAATGCATGTGTAGTAATGATCTCCTTTATGCAAAATTACATAGGTTTATTATTGGAAATATGTGTATATACATATACAAGTATATATGCAAAGAGGTGGTCACTAGCATCTTTGTTTGATTCTCCTGCTTCTGAAGCAGACCCCAAGACAAAAGCTTGGGTAGAGGGAGTTTATTTGGGTGATGATGCCAGGCAGTGGAAGTGAGGGAATGAGGAGAGTGAGAAAAAGAGGCCGAGCGCAGGGTCTCACGCCTGTAATCCCAGCACTTTGGGAGGCCAGGATGGGAGGATCACGAGGTCAAGAGACCAAGACCATCCTGGCCAACATGGTGAAACCCCATCTCTACTAAAAATACAAAAATTAGCTGGGCCTGGTGGCATGCACCTGTAGACCTGCTACTCGGGAGGCTGAGGCAGAACAATCGCTTGAACCCAGGAGGCGGAGGTTACAGTGAGCCGAGATCATGCCACTGCATTCCAGCCTGGTGACAGAATGAGACTCTGTCTCCAAAAAAGGGTGGTGGGGGGAAAGGCGAGAAATGGGTGCATTAATGAGCTGGTTTTAGCTGCAGGCAACTGGGGGACTCTATCCTGCTGGGGACACTCTGAGAAAAGTGCAGAGGGAACCCGAGGTTTACCCCACCTGAGAGGTGGTGTTGGCTGCTTCCCCTCCCCACTGGCTGAGGGTTGCCCCACTTCTGCAGTTTTGGGCTATCCCTGTTTGTGACTTCAGAGAGAGCAGAGTAGAGAGACTCCCAGGTGCAGACTTGGTGGGGTGCTGAAAATTAGAGGAACCATTCATCCCAGCTGAAATCTTTGGACCAAGATGTGGCAGGCAGAGAGCATCACAAACACAGGGCGTATCTCTGAATGTGAGGATTTTGTCATATTTACTCTCTCTTTCACAGTGCTCAGAATTTTTTGTTGTTGTTTTTGTTTGAGAAGGAGTCTCGCTCTATCCCCCATACTGGACTGCACTGGCACGATCTCAGCTCACTACAGCCTTGCCTCCCGGGTTCAAGCAATTCTCCTGCCTCAGCCTCCTGAGTAGCTGGGATTACAGGCATGTGCCACCACACTTCACTAATTTTTGTGTTTTTAGTAGAGACGGGGTTTCACCATGTTAGTCAGGCTGGCCTCAAACTCCTGATCTCATGATCCACCTGCCTCGGCCACCCAAAGTGCCAGGATTACAGTCGTGAGCCACCGTGCCTGTCCTAGAATTCTTTTATAATAAGCACAATAAAACAAAAAAGCATTTTCGAAAAGAAAGAAAATAATGTATTGTTTATTAGGAGTCTATATTAGTACTCACTGAGAACAAATCCAGGAGCTCAAACAACTGAACATCAAGAAAACAAAAAACCCAATTAAAACATGGTAAGGGATCTGAATAGACATTTCTTGAAAGTGCTCAATATCACTAATGATTAGGAAAATGCAAGTTAAAACTGCAATGAGACATCATCTCATACCTGTCGGGGTGGCTTTTACCAAAAAAGACGAAAGGTAAGTGTTGGCAGAGAGAAGAGAGGACCCTTGCGTGCTGTTGGTGGGAGTGTAGTAAGTTAGCACAGCCATTATGGAGAACAGTATGGAGCTTCCTCAAAAAACTAAAAATAGAATTACCATAGGATGGAGCAGGCTCATTTCTGGGTACTTACCCCAAAATTTGAAATTAGTTACTTGAAGAAATGTCTGAACCTCACGTTTATTGCAGCACTATCCACAATAGCCAGGCTATGGAATTCACCTAAGTGTTTATCAACCAATGAATGGATGAGGAAAATGGGGTATGTATACACAATGGAATCCTATTCAGCCTTTAAAAAGACAGAATTGTGTCATTTAAAACAACATGGACAAAACTGGAGAACATTATACTACCTAAACTAAGTCAGACACAGAAAGACAAATACCACATGTTCTCACTTATATATTGAATCTAGAACAATAGAACCCATAGAAGCAGAGAGTAGAATGGCTCTGGAGTTGGGGAGAATGGGGTGATGGTGCTCAAAGAATATAAAATCTCAGTTAGACAGAAGGAATAGTTTTCTATTTATTGCACAGCATAGTGCATAGAGTTAATAATAGAGTACTGTACATTTCAAAATTGCCAAGATGGCTGGGTGCAGTGGCTCATGCTTGTAATCTGAGCACTTTGGGAGGCCAAAGTGGGCAGACCATTTGAGGTCATGAGTTTGAGATCAGCCTGGTCAACATGGTGAAACCGCAACTCTACTAAAAATACAAAAATCAGCTGAGTGTGGTGGCACACACCTGTAATCCCAACTACTCAGGAGACTGAGGCAGGAGTACTGCTTGAGCCTGGGAGGTGGAGGTTGGAGTCAGCTGAGATCATGCCACTGCACTCCAGCCTGGGCGACAGAGCAAGACTCTGCCGCAAAAAAAAAAAAAAAAAAAAGATTGATGCTGGGTGCAGTGGCTCATGCCTGTAATCTGTGCACTTTGGGAGGCTGAGGCGGTGGATCACCTGAGATCAGGAGTTTAAGACCAGGCTGGTTGCCGGGTGCGGTGGCTCAAGCCTGTAATCCCAGCACTTTGGGAGGCTGAGGCGGGTGGATCACGAGGTCAAGAGATCGAGACCATCCTGGTCAACATGATGAAACCCCGTCTCTACTAAAAATACAAAATATTAGCTGGGCATGGTGGCGCGTGCCTGTAATCCCAGCTACTCGGGAGGTTGAGGCAGGAGAATTGCCTGAACCCAGGAGGCGGAGGTTGCGGTGAGCTGAGATCGCGCCATTGCACTCCAGCCTGGGTAAC